AGAGTGGCCAGGAGCGGCCACTGCACTCCAGTCTGGGTGACAGAGTGAGACTCCAACTCAAAAAAAAAAGAAAAAAAAAGAAAACCATGTCTTAGAAAAATATTTAGCAACATGGGAAAAATGTTCTAATATATTGTTTTAAAAAGTAAGTTATAAAAAGTAATCTTATGTATATTTTATATTATTATGTGTTTATAGTTTTCTCTATTTCTATATAGAAACACAAATCTAGAGAAAATTAAAATGACATCAAAAATTTTTTTTTGAGTCAGAGTCTCACTCTGTTGTCCATGCTGGAGTGCAGTGGCACATTCACGGCCACCGCAGCCTCAACCTTCTAGGCTCAGGTGATCCTTCCAACCTCAACCTTCCAAGCAGCTGGAACCATAGGCATGTGCCACCACGTCTGGCTAATTTTTGGATTTATTGTGGAGATGAGATCTCACGAAATTGTCCAGGCTGGTCTTGAACCCGTGAGCTCAGGCAATCCTCTCACCTTGACCTCCCAAAGTACTGGCATTACAGGCTTGAGCCACTACACCTGGCCATTTATCAAATATTGATATTAGTTATTTCTCTTTTTTTAAATTTGTTGCGGTTGAGATGGCATCTTGTTGTGTGGCTCCTGCTTCAAGTGATCCTCCTGTCTCAGCCTCCCAAGTAGCTGGAACTACAGGCATGTGCCTGCACCTGGCCATTGTTCCTTATCTCTTAATCATGTGATTGCTGGGCGCTGTGGCTCAATGCAGTGACATTCCAGTCTGGGGGACAGAGTGAGACTCCTACTCAAAAACAAAACAAAACAAAAAAATGCGATTAGAGGAGAGTTTTATTTTCTCTTTTTTACCTATTACATAATAGGTAAACATGTATTTTATATGGTAAACATGTACTATTTTGGCAAATTATATATAATTTTTGTGCGTATATAAAATAAGTTTTCCGTTACATTTTTTCAAGTGAAATCATCTGTTGTTCTGAAAGACGTTCATCTGAAAGTGGGTTGGGCTTGGGCTGATACTCGGATCTTGGGGCCTGTGTTGCCAGCTAGACTCTGCACTGCTCGTCCTCCCAGACTACCCAATGTCAACTAGTTTCCCCCCCCACCCCTGTGCGACTGCCATGCGGTGTCGTCACCCAGACCTTCTGCACCTACATTCGTACTGTCTTGTGGGAAAAATAATAATAATAATAAAATAAAATAATAAAGTGTGTTTGTACTGTTTTCAGTGAGTGAGGGAAGAGACGCAAAGCCATTCAAGCAGGACTGGCTTTGTGCCCAGGGACACTTGCTACAGGGAGAATCAACATTATATCAGTTATACAAATGCTTGTTGTTTAGGTGAAAAGCCCAGAAGGGAAGTTCCAGAAGACCAGCACTGGAGCCGTCAGAATGCAGCCAAAATCAGCGGAGTTGAAGTTTGTCACCAAGAGCGACGGCTATGTGCACATCCACCCTTCCTCAGTGAACTACCAGGTCAGAATGGGAGTGGGCGCATGTCCACATGGCAGGGTTGGCGGGGGGACACAATTCCTCACATTCAACCAAAGCTTGTTCTGTCACGTGTGGTCCCCACAGCACACTGACTAGGGAAGGTTGAATAGGTATAAACAGACTGGAATTGGGACTATTTTTGGAAGGACTATTTCCATTTCAAGAGAATTCTACTGGATACCAAAACCGCTCAAGCTGCTTTCACATGTAAAGTGGTTTCTTTGCAGTGGTGACTGCAGTCATGAGCTCATGACATCACTGAATCTGTGCCCTAAAAGGGAATGGGTGACCTGTTCTTGCTGGCCCCGCTTCCTCAGCACTCAGCCTGCCCCTGCAAGGCTTCTGGCCTGCACTATCTTCATTTGAGGCTTCCCATTACAGGTCAGACACTTTGACAGCCCCTACCTGCTGTACCACGAGAAGATCAAAACCAGCCGAGTGTTCATCCGAGACTGCAGCATGGTGTCTGTGTACCCGCTGGTCTTATTCGGAGGTGGCCAAGTGAATGTGCAGCTTCAGAGGGGAGAGTTCGTTGTCTCCTTGGATGATGGTTGGATCCGTTTTGTAGCTGCTTCACATCAGGTAAAAGGATAACTGGTCTGGTCTGTGCGGCTCGGGCCATGAGGGACTTTGACACGATGAGTATAGGACATTCCTTTAGGGACCAAGGATAACGGAGCTAACTAAGAGCGAATGATGGTGCCAGGTGTGGTGGCTCATGCCCATAGTCCCACGCTTTGGGAGGCCAGGTGGGAGAATCGCTTGAACCCAGGAGTTCAAGAACAGCCTCGGCATCATCACAAGACCCCATCTCTACATAAAAGAAAAAAAGAAAAAAAATTAGCCAGACATGGTGGCATGTGCCTATATTGGGAGGCTGAAGCAGAAGGATCGCTTGAGTCTAGGAGGTCAAGACTGTGGTGAACTGTGATGGTACCCTTGCACTCCAGCCTGGGTGACAGGGATCCTGACTCAAAAAATAAAATAAAATAAGAGTGAATGATGGTCTACAGTGAGACACTAAGAAAGTGAGGCCGAAATGAGGCCAGGAGTGGAGCCCTAGGGAGAGTTCCAGGAAGCACACAGAAGGGAGATGGGGTAAACTGAAGTCAGTGAGAAGGGTTAGGGCAGAAGCTGTAAAGCAAAGGTGCTGGACCTTCCTTATTAATACATGTTCTCCATGGAAAAGTCAGAAAATACAAGCAAAAACAAATAAAATCACCCAATTCCACCACTGCCATTAAAACACAAGATAATGGGTCTGAATTCTCCTTTTATTCTCAGGTCTCAATTATTCACTATATGGAGTCTCTGTGGAAAACATTTCGTGGGAAATATATGTTAAGAAATAAAAATTCATTCTTAGCCAGATACATTGGCTCACACCTGTGATCCCAGCACTTTGGGAGGCAGAGGTGAGAGGATTGTCTGAGCTCGGGTTTGAGACCAGCCTGGGCAACTTGGCAAGACCTCGTCTCTATAATAAATCAAAAAATTAGCCAGGCGTTGTGGCACACGCCTATAATTCCAGCTAGTTGGAAGGCTGAGGCGGCAGGATCACCTAAGCCCAGCAGGTCGAGGCTGTGGTGTCCGTAAGCATGCCACTGCACTCTAGCCTGGGCAACAGAGTGAGACTCCGACTCAAAAAAAAAATTCATTCTAACATTTGCATCTGTTAGAATTCTGTGTTGCAAAAAGCACAAATACCAGCTCAAACATAAAAGAAAACTGGCACTTTAACTCCAACGTCTAGAGCAGGGCCTATCCCACAGAAGTATAATGCGAGTCGCTTATGTCATTGTCAGTGTTCTATTAGCCACATTAAGAAAAGTACAAAGGCAAAGGTGAAATTGATCTTAACATATTTTATTTACCCTAATATATCCAAAATGTTTTAATTTCAAGAGGTAATCAGTATCAAAAAAATTATTGATATAGTTTATATTGTCTTTTCATACTAAATCTTCAAAATCTGCACATCTCAGTTTAGACTGATCACATTTCATGTGGTCATGTGACTGGTAGTTGCCATATTAGACAGGACCTGTCAAGAGAGCCAGGCAAGGTTGGTTTGATTTAGCAGCTCAGTGAGGCAAAAGCCTGGCTAACCTAGTAGCAAAATGACTGCAGTAGCACCTGGCATCATGTCTATGCAGCAAACAGTCCAGAAGGGGAGACAGAAACTTTCTTGCCTAAAAGCTCCATCAGTGCTCCCCTGCTAAACCAATTCCTGTAGCCAGAAGGCTGTCCTGGACTCGAAGGCCACCGTGCCTGAGCCATCACTTGGGAAAGGCTCACAGCATGAACCTCTGAGTTAGAGCGGTTCAAACCGCACAGTGGCCGCACAGTGAGGAAGGGGCAGAGAGATTAGGAAGCCATCCACACAGCGGCTGCTTCAGCAGAAGCAGATGCCAGGAACACATAATATATATAGCCCAAAGCTAAAGAGCTTTCATGGTTTGTGTAATCTGCACCTTTTTAAATTCCACACATTCCTGCTTCTCCCCTTGGGGCAGATTGCACCAGTTGACTAAGCTTTACTGTGGAGAATAGGACTTAGAGCCATACTTTCAGGATGAGTCTTCAAATGGGATGTGACAGGAACCTTTTTATGATGGGCCTCAGTTCGTCTATTACAGAATGGAAATGTTCCCTCTTTTGCCTCCCACTGAGGTTAGGATACGACGGGCAACCCGCACCGTGACCATCACAGCAGGGCCTCCCTCTGGTGCCTCCCTGTGGCCACACACGCTGCTTACATACTGGCTCTCGTTTCAGGTGGCTGAACTAGTAAAAGAGCTTCGCTGTGAGCTCGATCAGCTTCTCCAGGATAAAATTAAGAACCCAAGCATAGATCTGTGCACGTGTCCTCGGGGGTCGCGGATCATCAGCACGATCGTGAAGCTGGTCACCACACAGTGAAGACCCATCAGGAGAGCACGCGCCCCTCGCCCACGCTGGCCCACGTGGGAGAAGACAGCACCTCTACCTTGAACACACCTGTGCGCGCTGCCCTGTGGGGGGGGCAGGAGCCCCCACAGTGCTGGGGCCGCAGACCCGGGGGTCAGCTTCAGACTCTTTCCACAAAGCCTCAGCACTCCCAGCACAATGTGGAGGTCAGTAGTGACAGTCGAAAACCCAGCTTGCCTGGCTTTTTCTCTGAGACTGTTCTTGAGTAAATGAAATTCACCTGATAACACACAAGTGAATGTTGAATACAGTTCTGTTTTAATCTGTGTATTCTTTTTCTCCTGCTTTTTACTGGGGTGAGACAGGGCTTAGAAATTCCCATTGGGATTTTTCTGTCATAAAGGCTCAACTGAGAGAAGCCAGAACAGAGAAGGAAAAGAAAAAAGGGAAAAAAATCATGTCAACAAGAAAAATTAAAATTTCATTTAGACTGTGACTACTGAGCAAACTTGATTTGGGAGGGATTTTTATTTTTACTCATTAAAGGCCAGCTTAAGAAAACAAGCTTAATGAGTTGTTTCTTGGTATATTAAAATGCAAGCTGGTCTTACCCATAACTCCCTAGTCTTTTTGTGTGTGTGTGTGTGTGTGTGTTAGAGTCTCATTCTGCTGCCCAGACTGGAGTGCAGTGGCACAATCATGATGGTCATGGCTCACAGCAGCCTTGAGCTCCTGGACTCAGGCAATCCTTCCACCTCAGCATTCTGAGTAGCTAATTTTTTTGATGTTTTTTATAGAGATGAGGTTTTCCTGTGTTGCCCAGGCTAGTCTTGTACTCCTGGACTCAAGCAGTCCTCCTCCCTCGGCCTCCCAAAGTTCTGGGATTGCAGGCGTGAGCCACCATATCCAGCCTACACCCCTATTCTTAAAAGCAGGACAATCTGGGTGTCCTCATTCTCCAAGTTCTCCATTTAGGAATATTTATTCTCTCTTATGAACTCACCCGGATCCAGCCGCCATATTTCATATTACTCAAAGGAGAATTTTAACAGTGTTCCCAGGGCAAAGCTGGAATGTTGGAATAGGCAAGGTCACCACACTAGCAGCAGTCTTCCTGCTCATTTTCTTTTTTTTTTTTTTTGAGTTGGAGTCTCACTCTGTCGCCCAGACTGGAGTGCAGTGGCCACTCCCGGCCACCGCAGCCTCGCCTGCTGGGCTCCGGCGATCCTTCCACCTCAGCCTTCCGAGTAGCCGGAATTACAGGCATGCGCTGCCACGCCCAGCTGATTTTTTGATTTATTGTAGAGATGAGGTCTCGTTGCCCAGGCAAGTCTCGAACCCGCGAGCTCAGGCCTACTCATTTTCAACCACCCCTTGAGTCAGTGGGCACTAGCAGTTTCAAAGAATATAAATACATTTCCATTTTCCCTGGACATTCATCGGTGTGGCCAGGAAGGATCCCAGATTGCTGAGTGGAAAGAAATGCCTGTGTGTTTGTCTAGACCTCAGGACAGAGTCACCACAGATTTCATATTCTTGGCAGAATTGAAACTCATCAGCCAAACCACCTCAGTGAAGAAGGTTTCACTTTCCAAGGTCTCCTTTTAGTCAGGTCTTCAGGAAATCCAGGCTGTGTAAAATGATCGTTGTCACGTCTGCTTCAGCTTTGGTGCACTTGAAGAGCTTAGACTCTCAGCAGCATTTTTAAAAGGCATCAGTTTGTGACATCGCTTGAAATAAAACGCATGCATATGCAGAGACCCACAGAATCCAAGCGGAAGCAGGCTCCTATTACAGCACTGATTAGGCTGAGACCTTTAGAAGGAATGAAGGAAAAGCTGCAATTGCACTCTGAAAAAAAGTGGATTTTTTTTTTTGAGTCAGAGTCTCACTCTCGCCCAGGCTGAGTACGGTGGCAGGATCACAGCTCACCACAGCCTCCACCTCCTGGGCTCAGACAATCCTCCTGCCCCAACCTCCCAAATAGCTTGGACTACAGGTGTATACCACCATGCCCAGCTGATATTTTAATTTTTTTATGGAGACGAGGTCTCACTATGTTGCTCAGGCTAGTCTCAATCTCCTGGACTCGAGCGATCCTCTCACCGCGGCCTCCCAAAGTGCCCAACCTAAAAAAGTTTGGTTTTTTTTTTGAGTTGGAATCTCACTCTGTCACGCAGACTGGAGTGCAGTGGCCGCTCCCGGCCACCGCAGCCTCGACCTGCTGGGCTCCGGAGATCCTTCCACCTCAGCCTTCCAAGTAGCTGGAACTACAGGTGCGCGCTACCACG